GTATGAGTGGTCTCTTGATTCATGTACTGTTGCGCACACATTTTTTCTCAGTTTTCCATCACACCCATCTTTGTCATTCTGCAACTCCCCAGTCCTTACTTACTATACAAAAGTAATTTCTAATATCAGAAAACACATTTTTAAAACTTTTCATCCTTAGATTAAGGATGTAGCAGTCCATTGAGGATGTGAATTAACATCTTTATCAAAGACACATTTAAGTTTTCACTAGGGTTTTTTCATCTGTTCAAAGAACTTCATAGTTATGGAGAATATTTCACTCTGACATTCAGCTTCCAAGATTGAATGATGGCTTATCTAAGAATGATTCACCGTATTATACTATATTTTATGTGGACTAGTAACTTAAAATGAATGTCCCATCTGATTTCCATTAATTTATAATCTCCCTGTGTTTGTCAGGATTAGTGCTAGCATTCCTAAGATATGATAATGATATTATATATTGTCAAAGGTCAAACTACTGTTTGTACAACACATTTAAAATATTTTGATCCAATTTTCTTGGTATATTTAAAATAATTAAGTAGACAGGGGATTATATGCCCATTTGATTATTAAGGACAAACATTTAGAAGCATTTTGACATTGCCACAGTAAGATTTGTCAAGAACCACAGGGACAACACATTTCTTATAAGCAAGGGTTCTCCCTACTTGAGAGAGGAGTAAGAAAGAAATAAAGCTTTGTCTTTCGAATAGCCATCATGTAAGCTCTGCAAGACTCTTCAAAATCAAAATTACAAAGTCTGCAAGACTGATGATCATTAATATGGCACACTACATTACATGTGTGTATCCTGGAGCAGCCACTGTGGCATTTTCTGTATTTACCCTCTTTTTGGAAGCCAAACAGCTTACGGTTTCTTGTGCCTTGACACCATGTTACTGTTGTTTTATGTTCCTTTCTGTTGGAGGTGACCACTCTGAAGATGCATCATATGGAAGGAAGACTTTCTTGCTGAAAAGGACAATGAACATGCCTATGTGTGATGAACTGCTTTACTGGGACTTACAGGGTAAAACTTACTGCTATGTGGATGCCACCATTTTGAGTAACTTCATCTTGTTGGCTGTGGTCTTTGCTCCTTGGAGCTGCGTGCTGTTCTCCCATTGGGCAGCTTACAGAGTTGTATCTGCCCCATCCAATCCCATTATTCCGTGATTACCTCATTGTTGTAATCCTTTCCCCTAATGTTCTCCCTACCTATCAAACATCCCAATTTTGCATAACCCTTACCAGTTTCTAGAATCACTAGAATCATCTAGAATCACTCAGCCTACTCTATAAAAAGCCCTCCATTTTGCAATTAACCAGATCAGGCTCGGGCACTGCTCTGGCAAGGTCTGCAGTCCTGTTTTCGAACCCTGCTGGTCTTGTGCTCTTTTTCCTGGTTCGCGTTGCCTTTATGAATGCATGCTGCCTTACATTAGATGTTTTTACAGTTCACAACAAAAAACCCTCTTCTGCTTAAACTGAAAAATCCCATTTTACAAGGCTTAGTAGGAATAGCAGCCTATTCTGGGAAATCCAAACTCTTTATGCGGAGTGGGTTTGACCCCAGCTTGGATGCTTCTCGGTCCTGCAGAAGGAGCTGGCATGGTATCTCATTTCAGAGCCCTGCCCAAAATTTTTCAGGAGTTCATTTTAAAGATATGGGTGATAGGATATGATATGATATTGTTTATCTAGCCATTAATGGACTTTTCCTTCCCTGTCCTGTCTTTGCCTGTTTAGAGACAAAACCAGCCCCAGGATAAGAACATGTTTCAATAAGCAGTACCCTAAATGCCTAGTGACTGAGGGCAGGTCACTTAGTTCAGACACTTTTTACTGTGTGCAGATCCTGCATGCAGAATATGCTCAACCTGAAAGCAGAAACCTGTTGTTTTGAAGTTAACATAGATAAAAGTCAACAAAACCTAAGACGCCATGAGGCTGGACATGAGCTCATTCAGCATCCCCATGGCAGAGGCCCAAAAGCCCCAGCAGGCATCAGTCAGGTCGCCAAGGGTACACCCTGCTGCTCCCTACAACAGGTCCCCAGAGGTACCAAACTTTTGTCATCCAGCACCAGATTTCCTTTAGGGTTGAGCAGTTTTTCACTTGTTTCCTCAAGTCATTGCTTGTGTCTGCCTCAACCAGTAGCCCGGCCTCCCTATACCTCAGACCTTCTCATTTCCCCATCCTACAGCTTGGCAGTTGGAACCAGAGCTGGCCAAGGATTTGGACTGAGGTGGGCAGATCACTGCAGCTTTAGGACAAGCCAAAGGAGAAACTTCTTAATTTTATTTCTGAGGTCAAAAAGGTCAGGCCTGTCTACCTAAATTCTGCAATGAAAGCAATGTTTAATCAGCAGTTCTACTGCCCAGGGCTGCTTTGTGGAGATTTCATTCACTTATGTGGGTTTTCTCCTTATCTGTGAGAAAAATGGATTACGTAGAGGAGAGGTATGATGACTATCACTCATATGACTATGACTATGAATCATCCATTTGATGTCCTGGTCACAGAGACTGCTGACATACCTGTACAGGTGGTCTGCAACCAAGGACAGGAAGAAATTCCCTTCAGCTCAGTGCAGAAACTGATGTAGATTAACAACAGGCCGCCCTTCCAGCCGTTGTGTCCCTGTCCTTTAGTTGTGTGTAGCCACCGCCCTAATGGGAGGGACTTTCTCAGTTTCTCGACCTCAGCTATGCCCATCACAAAGGCACACATGGAGAACATTATCCCATTACCTGCTCTTGCACTCCCTCACACAGCAAAGCATTTTCATACATAATCAAACTGCATCCCATGGGCTGCCAAATTTTCAGTCATGAGTCTATTTAGGAAAACAGTCAGTGGCACATAGTACTTCTTAAGCCTTCATGAAGGTTTTCATCTACATTGTCTTTAAGCAAGTCCTCATTCAGTTTTTCACTGCACTTACAACTTTTTTCTTTAAATCAGGTAAATTTAACTCAGAAGCATTTCTCTTCCAGTGTTTTTAGTTCATATAGATATGAAATTTTTGTTACCTATGAAGCTCTCTAAAGGGTTGGTGATTCTTGGGCACCTTTCTACAGACAGGTGCAAACAACATTGAGCCTCCCAACTGGAAGCTGGTAAAATATGAGCCAGCCACATGGCAAATAGCAGAGTCAAAGCTAGAACAACTCTCTTGTAAAAACAAATTGCTTCATAAAAATACTTTTGAAAGGTTGTTTGAGGTTTCTGCTTACACTTGTTAGGCAACTGCTTCTTTCTGCTCACAGCTTCAAGCCTAACCTATGTTAGAAAAGAAATACCATATGGATGTTACTGGCAAAGATGATTTGGGCTTGTCATCACCAAAGTGTCCCTGGGAAAGATATGGCCTCTGTCAAGGCAGGACTAGAAACTTGGCTCTAAGGAGAGGAGACCAGTAAGTCAAAGGTGCCCAAAAGGCAGTGATATAGGAAAAGCTGGAGCCAGAAAAGGGCCAGAACTCTCTGGATGCCAGAAGGGCAAGAACTAAAGCTGTCCCCAGGTGAAAAACAGGCAGTAACTGCCACTGAGAGAATCTGCTTATCAGATCTGTTACCTGTCCTCTGTTGGAAGAAGTTGACTTTAACAGCCGTTCAGTGCAGGAATATCATCACAAGATTTGCTATTGGGATCTATCAGGTGCAACAGATTATTGTGATCCACAAAATTACTGTAAAGTCATTATCAATTAAAATTACTAGTAATGCCAAGTCCTAGTAAGTTTTACACTTTCCACTGTAGTTTAGAGTAACTACAGTTTTATCAACTCCTGTTTTTTAATCTGTATTAGAATATGCTTTTTTTGGAGGTATTTTATAAATGTAGATCTCATGTGCAGCTTTTTTGTGCAAATATCAGTGAAAACTAGTTGATAAATAACCATTGTAAACTAAAATGATACTTGAAGTAAAGTATTAAAAATTATTTTTCTACTTTTACTTTCAGGTATAATTTTAGTATTAACAAGATATTGACATTTTAGAAATTAGACATATGAGATGTATAGTTATTATATATATTTACATTTTTTCTAGTTTTCTCTGTGTTTCTTGAAGGTGGGGAATATCTGAATCTGAGGAAGAGTCTGTCAGAGATGAAGCAGAGAATGTGTAATTTACTACTGCTCCTTCTCTTAAAACATGGTAATCCTAAACCAAACAAAAAATGGAAACAAGGAGTTATCACGTCCTATACAATAATCTCTCCAAACAGATCCTCTTGGCTTTATCTGGGTTTTCAAAGCCCTTGCTATTTGTGCCAAGCTTCATTCGCACAGGGACTCAAACATAGAACTAATAATACTGGTAATACTACTACTACTAATAATAATCTTGACTCGTTTGTTGTGGCTCTATGGTGGATTTTTTTCTGGCAGAAATGCAAGAGCTGTTTTCTGTAGCCACCCCGAGGCAAGGACTCCACATTACCACTGGTCTCCATGTTATGCCTGTATAGTACTGAATCCCAGGCACTTAGCTAAAAGTGGGTTTCCTTAGATGTAAGTAAACTCCTAGGGCAGCTTATCCAGTATATGGCTGGGCTCTGCTGTGGACACAGAGGCAGCCAAGGTGACCTTTTGCAAAAGCAACTCAGGTCAGGCAGAGTTTTTGAAACTGAGTTTTTAACCTGCCATGCAGTTTGTACACCCTTCCACTCCTCCCATGGCCCATCTGCATCTGGAAGCAAAATAAGTTTGACAGCAAATCTGAAAACAAACCCATTGTGCCTCCAGCATGAGGATGAAGTGTCCAGGTTTAGCTGCTTTTCCTTGGTTCTTGGAGCTAAACATTAGCAGCAGCTCTACCCCAAATACTTAATCTGAGCATTCACCTCTGTGCATGTGACCTGTGGCCTCCCACCTGTATTTACAGTGTTTATGAGCAACAGACCAAGAATAAACCACAAGATCCATTTTCTAGGGAATTTATCCCATAGTACTTTTCATTGAGATTAATAATTTTTCACTGACTGAAAAGATAATGTATCTCAGCAATTGCTTCCTTGATGGGTAACATCCCTGGAAGGTTATGACACATTTAAGACATTTTTCGTAAGCACAAGTTTTAAAATTTCAAGTTATATCTAATTAGAAATATCTTGTCAGTCTCTTAACCCATGAATTTCCCAGTTTCAGGAAGCACATTGTTTTTCAGCTACTTCACTTTGGCAAAGTGCTGGATAAAGCAAACAGGAACTTGGTTTTCTTATTCACCCGTTGCAAGGTGTTTTAGAAAGATTGCAATGCATTCTTGAATGTGAATAGGCTGCGAATTCCTCATCCTAGTGACAAACATACACCAGGATATTTTAATGCAGAAGGAGCAGTATAAATACAAGAGAATTGAGTAGAATAATGGACCTTGCTATACAGGAAAATAAATACCTACTACACTATGAAAGTGTAATTTCATAGCTATGCTCCAAAATGTCTCAATTTACCTTCCACATAGCAACAGAAAACAGACATGATTTGTTAACTTCATCATCATTATCAAAATATAATTAAGTTATACACACTTGCTATTAAATCTACATTAGTAGTTTTAAGATGTTCTCAGTCCCGCAAAAATAGCACCTTTGTAAAGATACAGTCTTTACAATAACAGAATACATTAGGCTTCAATGTACTTCCAGATGCCAAACTGCTGGAATCCTCGATCCCTTCACAGAATGTGGTACAACAAGACTTAATGCCAAGAGGGCATTAAAAGCATCACGACCAAAGTTTTTAACTTTCTCACAATAGAGCCTTATGATGAGCCTTTAGAATAATCTTCTTCACACTGTCACATGTGACCAACCTTCCTTTCTAGCTCTCTTTACATTTTCCCTTCAACTGTGTGGTCTTGCCGTGGGAATACAGGTCTAACCAACTGCACAGAGTAACAGGACTCAACAGGAGATTTAAAAATGATCCACTTTCTTTATACAATTGTTCTCTCCAGAACATTTTCTGCTTGAGGGACATTCCCACTTCAAGTGCAGAAAAGGAAAGGCAAGAGCAAGACAATTCCAGCTGGCAACCAGATGAGGAATACTTAAGGAAGATCCCAAAAGTTCAAGCACAGCAAGGCATCTTACTTCCCTTATAACAGTGTATGGCCTGCATCATGCAATATCACTAGTTAACTTCAGAATCTCTGAATATTTTCCTCTCTACAGGAAAGAAAATACATATAAACACCTGATAAGCATGTTAAAGGGGTAAGAGTCACTGGCATGTGGCATAAAGGTTCCAATCCTTCCTCCAGCTGTTTCTGGTGACTTCTGGGGTCTCCTGCCCAGCTTGCCAGCATCTCACATGGTGCTAAAAGGGCAAAGTCTCAAGCTCTTACTGGTCGTACTGGCCAGGTATGGCTATCAGTGCTCCCCAGTCATACCACACACTTCTCTGGAACATCACACAGGTTTTCAGGCCAAACACTTTTCCTGTATGAGAATTCAAGCATCAACATTAAGGAAACTGGTAAGTTCGCAGAGACAAGGACTAACTTAGTATCTTTTAAAGAGGAAATGAATATGTAGAATCACATAAATATAAAAAATATATGAAAGAGAAAGTTTCTAGTTGCAACAGTTCTTAGATCCATTTTCTAGTTGAGTGTTTTTCATAAATAAATGTGAACACAGAGGTTGCTGAGTGCAAAATGTCTTTCTTATGGTACATGTCCATTCTTGCACAGAGGTGCTGAGCTCCATGGACAATGGACAGCTTTCCGAGACACTCTGATAGTCCTGGATAGGGCTACTGAGGATGTTTTCTCATGTAAATCAAGAGGTAGGCCGTTTCTCCCCTGTAGAGGCAAAGAAAAAGCAAAATGCAATATATATGTTTGAAGATCTAGGTTGCAAGTAACCTCCCAGGTTTGCTCCTGTTCAGCTTTTTGAGGTTTGGATCAACTAAGCTGACCCTTTCCAGTGTTTCTGAGAGAGCATATAAAGCTGACTCTCTGTCAGCACTTCAGCTTATAGGAGGGATTATCTCCCTCTTATAATTATCCCCTTCTCATAAGTTCATTTTCTTATGAGGCATCAAAACAAAAAGCATGGAAAAATACCGACTGACATTTCTAACTGCAGTCAGTCCCACTTGTGTCTACTCAGTAACCCTAGAGGCTCCCAGTATAGTCATATGCAGTACCATCAGAATAACCAGAATACAAGGATGCCTCTTCTACTCTCCTGCATCCTCACTACATCACAGGCAATATGCAATTCAAACCATTTATCTTCCCTCTCTTTGCTACCCTCATTCCAAAGTCCAGAGCAGCATTAGGTAAAAACAGAGATATGTTTGCATACCAGTGGAGGTTGGAATGCCCATAGGTGCATTTAACATCATCCCATGATACCTAGAGAAGAAAAACACACAAGAGGAGGCTGGTAAAAACTCTTAGGAAGTGGACACATTGTGATACCAGTGCACCAGTTCTCATAAGAGTGGTGTAAGTGGCACTTCCAGGAATTAAACACCTTTTAATAAATTGGTTCATTGCTTTGCCCTGCAAGGAAAAACAGTTCCTCTTCTAACACTTACAGATGTAGAGTATATAAAGTAGGGTATACATCAAATGGCTGCTATTTCAAGTCACAAAGCAGAATCTGAGGCCTTGTTTGGTACAGAAGCAAGAGCCTGTAGCAGAGGTGCACAAAACTTTGCAGCTTTAGTTTCTTTTCCTGGTTCTCTTTAATTAGCAGTCAGTCAGTGAGCAAGATCTGGAAGAGTGGCCAGGAAAGTACAAAAAGTACAAAAAGAAATGTGGATTGATCTCCTCACCTGGCAAACCTCAGAATCATTAAAGCAATACCATTTACACTCTGTGAGGCTTTGAATATAGGCACAGTAATGTCCACAACTAGTTGATCCTGAATGAGCAACAACAGCAAAAAGTTCATACTGCCAGGTAGCCTGCAAAGAGACAGAAAGAGTAACTTTTAGTGCAGTAATTCTCATTTGCCATTGACTGAAGAGAAGCAGCATCCAGGACAGCAAGGATGTGGATTTTGTAAGGAAAAAGGAAGAAGAGCAGATTAGCCTTGAGGATCCTGCCTTTTTTGCTCTTACTCTCATAGTTTTGCCTGCCAGCTACGGGCTGGCAGCCTCCCTGGAGACCACAGGAAAGTGAACAAGGTAGTAGGACAGCAAAGGAGTTACACTACAGACAACACCATACCAGTGACTTTTGCTATTGCCACACTTCCTCTTTTTATTTCACAATAAGTGGGACAGATCCACAGTGGGGCAGATCCCTCTCATCTGCTTGGCAAAGCTGTTGTTTCCTTGCTAAACTCAACTCTGTGGCCAACAACACTGCATGGGAAATACCAGGAATGGAGTTCCCTTGCCTTGGACTGGCGAGATATGTAAAGCCTGTTTTTTGTCCTTATGGCAGGAAGCTCCAGTTATTGTGCCTTTGTTGATTTACTCTGAGCACAGAATGCTGAATAATGACTGAACCAGTTAAAATCATGGGATGTGAGACAACACCAGACATAGGTGAAAGATGTCTGAGACATAGATTTTTAAGACAGGCACTTTGAACTCAGGCAAGTAGTGGTGTGATCTCTTAAAATTTTATGACACTTGAGCAGAGAGGAGAAGAAAATCTGCCCGTTTTAGATAGCCTTAGGAGTATCTCACCTTTTCATTTTCATCTGCTTGGCACTGATTTTCTGTCAAGACTCCGTTGAAATCAAGATCCTGTGGGAATGGCAGATAGTGACTAAGCTTGTGCATGTAAGATGATTTTTCAAAGCAGAAGCGCTTTAGGTGTATGGTCAGAGTCTGTGGCAGATGGACGAGCTTCATGCTCTGTAAAGCAATAAATAATGTGATTGAAAAACTAAGGAATAAACCCTGGGGAGGCAGGTTGGAAACAGCCATTGCCACCCAGTGGAGAAAACGGAGAACAGTCAGTGCTACAAGTGAATGACCACCAGACAGCAGATGCCAAACCTCTGTAGCCCATTTGCACACAAGACACATAATGGAGCTGTGATAACCAAGTTTCTCAGCTTTGGTGTAATCAGCACCCGGCCTCGGGTGTCTCAAGGGCTGCTTCATTTCTTATCTGCTTTCCAAATCCCAGATTGGTAGCACTAGGTAGATGAGGAGAGGCAAACCAACTTCCTTGTGACATGTGACCACTGGAGTTCCACGAAGGATGTCAAGCTTACAGTTCATTTCTTCCAGGACTGCCTTTGGTGACACTGCTGTTGCTGCTATGGCTGCCACTAAGACATATGGATTCATTGTGGTCTCAGAGGCAGCCCAACAGTGAAAATGTTGTGGGAAGTCTCCTCCAAGCCTTGCACTAAGGCATTCTCCCTCACACACTGCTCTCTTTAATGCCTCTTCATGAAACAGTTAATTCATCATCTGGTACAGACTGATACTCTAAAAAATGGGGAGCCCAGTGGAGAGCAAGGAAGAAAGGAAATCATTCTACAGTATCCTACTTTTAGGTGTATACACAGTTTAGGTAACATATTTTTGCCCACCTCTGCAGCTATGCAGCAGTGTAAACGCCCACAGTGAACACACAGAATAAACCAAGAGAAGCTCTTCTTCTTGGTGACTTAGAGTAAAACTCATGAAATCTTTAGTTGCAAGAGCTACATCTACAGCAGGGAACTTCCTAACAGGAGGAAAGATGCATGTGGTTTATACCTTGCTGATACTGCTGTGCTGACAAATCTGAGTTGTTGATCTCCTCTTAAACTGATATGGTTGAGTCCTTTCCCCACCCTTCCCAGTCCTTAAGGAATTTCTGTTTGTGAGAGACTTATGGGAAAATAATTCTCTGATTACCTGCAAAAAAGGTGTTTTCCTTCCGCACTGTTGACAAAAACACATGTTTGGACCAGTCAGCTCTTCTGGATGGAAAAAATATTGTACACAGTCCTCCTATGAAGACAGAGGAGATTCCTTTCAATTGAATTCCTTCAAGCTGGATTTCTATTTCTACTTTATTTCACAGAGTACAGATAAACAACAAAACTACAGAAGGTGTATTTTATTCAAAGGACAAAAGACTGCCTAGCAGCCCAAAAAAAAGTAACCCATTTTTCCTAGATGCTGATGTGATTGCATTAATTGGGGAAAAAAATGGGGTACTACATTTTTCGAAAAGAAGATGTTGATGCATACGTGTCTTTTATACCTACTTCAAAGCTTTGGAGGTTTTCAAAGAGGTTCCTTTATGATGAAAAAGCATAAAGTGGTCAGACTGTCCAATGGTGAACTGGCACCTCAAAAATCCACTATATTTGTGGCAGCACCTACACAGTCACCAGCACTGCTCTATCCAGATATCCAACAGCAGCGCTGATTCAACAGTGAAAGAACACTGCACTGGGCAAATGCAACATGTCCGGTCAGGGATTCCAAGTTATCTAGGGTATCTCACTGTGGTATCTAAGGTCTCACAGGTACACATCACAGTGTAGTTTGAGTCTTTGAGTCTGTTACAGAGTATTTAGTCAATACTCTTTTTAAAAAGGTGATTCACGGACTTTATTTTCCAGCCCCTAAATCAAACATTTTTTGAGACCTCTAAAACTCTTCCAAACAAATAAGAAATGTGAAGGAGAAAAGATCACCCTCTGGTGGTCCCAAACACTCTACAGAGATCTTGCAGAGATTCTAGATATGACAAAGGAGACACCTGGCTCCCACAGTGAACAGAGGGAAATCTTAAGGAAACAGTGTTGCCACTAAACTTACCAGAGTCTTCAGCCTGTGAGAATTGGAATCCAACACTGGCAGTGGAAGGGTTAACATGCTGCTGTTGTTCTTTATTTCAAAAGAGCAATTCTGACAGGCCAGATGCTCCTGTATGCAGATAGTGTACAAATCACTCAGCTCTTCAACCTGGAGGGACAAAAAAAGGCCGAAACAAGGTTTATGAAGATGACAGCTAAGGTATATCCTTGTGAGTGGAAAAGTCCATGTGCACATGTTATTTCACGCCAGGTTACTGCTTTAACATTTGAACCAAGATCTAACACTGACTTAGGTGGACAGGCTACTTCCCACATTTAAAGAAGAACAACTCCTTCCCCTCATCCCCTATCAGAGAGGAAAGACACAACCTATAGCAAGATCAGACAGTTAAATGTCTGCTTTGAGGCAAAATTGTACTGTTTTGTTTGAAACTGCAAAAGAAGTCTGCCTTCTGTATGAATAAAACTATGACAGTCAAGGAAGAATCACTTCTCCCAGCCTGCTAGAAGAAACTGTCATATACATAACGTACTAAGAGTGACTAATTAGAATGAAATGCACATGGCTGACTTCAAAGAATGGAAAAGACATGTTATGGTATGCCAACAAATCCTTACAGAAATTTGGGGGGGGAAAAAATGAAAGAAAACTAAATTTGGTGTTCAAAAAGATCAATTTTTTACTTATTAATCAAGTCTCCCATTAGAATGGAGACTCTGGCATGCCCTAAAAATAGGAAAAACAAAAATTAACTGTAATTCAAAATGTTGAAGCTTATGAGATTAAGATTTCCTCTCCCATTTGAAAGATGTGAGGAAAGACCCAAACAAGGGATTGATAATTTTAAGAATTTAACTTAGGACAATTGTCAGTGAATAGGATCCTTCTTCAAGGACCAGAGGAAACAATAAGGGCCAAAGGACCTGGTGTTCATTTCAGTGACCATTCTTACCAGCTCTAGCTTTTTCATCTGCTTCTTTATCAAGTTCCAGAGATGCAGAAACAGCTGAGCAGCATCATGCTGCACAAACACTGGACAAACAGAAAACAAAACCTCAATAAGTACTATGAACAGCATCAAGCACAGACTTCCCACAGATGGCAAAGGGAGAATTATTGTCCCCCATTAGATGTAGTTTCTTGTCCCTTGCCACTCCCTGCCAGAGACAGAACTTAGACTGGACAAGAGCTGCAATCTCTCTCTGTGACCTGAGCAGGCAGCGGGAAAAGACAGGAGGGCTTGCACTACCCAGTGCTAAAGTTGTGTACTTGACACCAGGTGCAGAGCTAAATACCTACTAGAAAATAGGGCTCAGATGTCTCACTGAGTTGAGAGTTGTATTTCATAGCATCATAGAATGGTTTGGGTTGGAAGAGACTTACACAACATCTCTTTCCAACCCCCCTGCCATGGACAGGGACATCTTCCACTAGAGCAGGTTGCTAAAAGCATTGTCCAACCTGGCCTTGAACACTTCCAGGCATGGGATATCCACAGCTTCTCTGGGCAAACTGTTCCCATGCCTCACTACCCTCAGAGTAAATAGGTTCTTCCTAATATCAAATCGAAACCCACTTCCTTTCAGCTTAAAGCAATCACTACGTCCTTGTAAAAAGTCCTTTTGAATCCTGCTTAGAAACAATACAGAGAAGATTCTGTTCTCTTTTTTTGCCTTTATTACACCACAGACCTTTTTCCCCTGTCCCCTCATGAAGGCTATAATTCTCCTGACTGCTGAGATAAAAATATGTCTCACGCATCAAATAGTATAAAAGCCTTGATCCCTACCCAAGCAAAAAGCACATGGTTTCAGCACAGGGAGCAAGTATGTTGAAGTGACATTATGCTTTGGCTTTCTACTCTGGCTAAATTGGCATATTAAGAAACCTAAGGTCAGTGCACAGCTTGCTTAGAATGTCTCAGCAGGGAATTGCTTCAAGAATAAACTTAGGGGAAAAGAAAATAAACTACATCCTTGAATGTGAAGAACTGATTTTGTCAGCCTGTTATGAACTCAAGATTTAGGAACTGGGCAAAAATTACATGTGGTATAGCAAAATCATAGTGTTTCTGGACTACCTTTATGCTTGATCATAGGTGAAACAAATTTTATACCATAATCCAACAACGTGATATGGAAGTGCTTTCAACTTCCCAGCAATTCAAGTCTGCAGTTACTGACTTCAGCTGTGTTCTGGTAAGATTACAGACACTTCTGATTAAACAAAGTTCAGAACCTTTCCTCATGTCTAATAGCAAGCCATGATCCAGGCAAAGTACCACTTTCTGAGATGGAGTTTAGGAACCACACTTGAATTTTAAAGAAGGACAAGGTGGGAAATAGTCAAGCTTTACAAACTCCCTTTGGACATCTCTCTTTAGCAGGAAGAGAGAAGACAGACTGCAAAGCCATTCAGAGTAAAGGGGGGAATGTAGCAAACAGAAATGTTGAGTTTATCTTGCATTCCTCCTTAAGAAAGATGGCTGGCTACCACCTCTGCTTTCAGTGCTGTTTGGGCCTTTATACAATAAAGATCAGGATATTTGGATACACCCTGTGTATTTGTACACATAGATAGACTCCCAGCATCCTATTGTCACCAGTCACTCATGCCTTCAACAATCTCTGTCCTTTGGGACTTTGACCAGTTGGGAGATTAAGCCAGAAAATTCTTCTCTCTGCCCTTATAAAAAGGAACAGGAAGAATATAGTTTTTATCCTTGGGGATCTGTGAGAACTTATCTTTTCCACGCTATCCCTTTCTTCTAATAAGTAACAGCAGCTATTTCACTATATGATGTCAGTACATCAAGACAAATCAAGCTATAAGCTATCTTCTCAGCCCTGCACAGCCCTTTCCCCTCGGTCAGTATCTGCAGCTGAGTCTTCCAGCAGTCTGAGAGACTGTTCTCTCTTTGGACATCAGCAAGGATATGCAGCAGGGGCTTTTTTCCCCCCTCTTCAGAAGTCATACACAGCATCATATTCACAAGTGGGAAGCAGCTATAAAGAGCACTACATCATCATGTACCTAACTCCTGACATTTCTGAATGGAGATGCTGGAGACTGCACTACTTGTCAGTGATGGGTAATCAACACCCTGATTTTCAGACAGAGGTGGGCATGAGGCAGTGCTGCTTACATTGCACTCTGTGTGCTGAAAGGCAGCAAGCGAGTTCTATGGGACGAACAGCTTTGCGCTTGCCACACTGCATCTTCTCCAACAGCAGGAGCATTTGGTACGGGACATTGCTCCTCCTCTGCACAGCACATGGTGGCACTGTGATCCTATAAAGGGAAGAAGAACACGAATGGTAATCAAGTGGTACAATGAAGAAATATTAGACATCACACCTGAAAGTGTGAAGCAATTCAAGAGGAACCAGAATGGGTATATTTTCAGCAAAAGAAGGAAAAAGGGGAAGCAGTCACCTGCACTAACTCACCCCACAATGCAGGCTGAAAGTTCTGAAGTGAAAGGCCACAGTGTTAAGTTGTCCTGTTCCTGAATAAGGGAACAAGCCAAGCAGGACCTCAAGTGCTTTCTGGGCTCCAGAAATAACATTAGTTACAGCCAGTTTCAGAGCTCTTCTTCCCTCCCACTGATTCATGTCCTCATTCTCAGCATACCCTCAAAATTTCATGGGCACATAAATCATAATGCTTGTATTTCAGCTATATGCCAACTGAAAAGCTTTTTATCCTCCCTAAATTTATTGCAGTCCACAGGTTTTTCTAAGTCTTTCTTCAAATAACCGTGGTAACCTACTTATCTACATTATTTAGTTTTGCCCATTCCTGACACTTCTCTTCTCTGCACGTCTGTAACATGTCTTCTTTCTTCTCTGCACAGTAGTGAGCGCTAAGAAATGTAGAGAAAGAACTGAACAGGAATGATCCACTTAGATGATTAAAGCTTCAGTGAACTGAGTAAATTGTAAACAAATCAAACCAGTTATTATTGTAGTTGGTAGGGAGACAGAAGCCCAAATCCTCCTCACAGACAACCAGGGAGAAGAGTCAAGCCAGATAAAGTAAACCTATGTATTCGTGATCTCCAACAACACTCATAGTCTTCTCTATGAGGTGCTAACCAGGGCAATCAGGGGCCACAGGCTGGGGATTACAATATGTTTATGTTTACATGCTTAAAATCACAAAATTAATAGTGGATATGGTTAGGCAAAACACATCCTTTTTTAAAATGGCCTATGAGTAAACCTGGAATAAAATCATATCCTCTTTCGGAAAAGAGAGATACAAGTCATAAAGACTCAGTTCAGGACTGCAGCTTACTGGTGTACAAAGGGCGCATGAATCAGAGATGACTAACAAGTCAGAATACTGCAACTTCTACTTTTGCAGGCCCGAGACTCTGTATGACAGATACGACAAGGCAGAGACCTTGCTGAGGGAGCTGAAAGCACCTTTGATAGCACCGTGATGATCTAAGCCTTCAAATGTACATAGCATATAAAAAAGAGGGGGAGGCAACAAAGCAACAATGGAAGTATCTCCAGTAGTTCAAACAAGTGGTACCTTCGAAGTATCCCTGTGAAGTGTATATTCATGAGGAACACTTGGAGCAGAGAGTTCAGACAGCAGCTCTGTCCAAGGTTATACAGTCCAATAGCTCCTGTAGGAATAGAAAAAGAGGAAGTGAGGCCTGGAGATAGGTACAAGAAAAGAAAGTGAAAATTATTTGAAAGTGGCAACTTCTCTTGCCATTCAGTGGTACAGGCTGAGCATCTTGATCAGACCTGAAAAAGTGTTCAGTCTATTCTTCTGTTGCTCAAGTAGATAACATTTGGTTTTGTTTGGCAATTGACGGGAAAAATCCAAATAAGCCTGGAAAATGATGCTCAGATTTCTCCCAGTTCCTCTATTTTCAGTCCTCTGAAACACCTAAACAGAAAACAAAACAACAGGAGGCAAAGGCTGCCTGTCCGAGGACTTTTATTCAGCCTTTTACACAACCAAACCTAACAAAAAAATGAAGAGCTCCATGTGGGACCAGATCCTAGCTATCCATCACATAGGATTCAAGTTTCCCTTTCAGCCTGTCTCTGGTATGTTTTTTTTCAGTTTCAAAGAAAGGAACTAGCTTGAGAGAAGAAGCAAGTCACAGCTGTTCCTGCATCTAAAAAGGTGGCATTTTCTGTGCCCCACTGCAGTATAAGTAACCCTGGTCAGAAATTAGAAATTTTGCTTCTGAAGTCATCACCAAAAGAGAGAGATTACATAACAGAAACCCAGAACACCTCCAAAATACATACAGTTGGTAGTAAGGGTGGGCCTACTTCATGGTTTAGCAAATCCGGAATCAGTGTTGGCTCTGTTTGGAAAGAGACAGAGCCAGCATCTAGACCTTTTGGGCTGCAATGGCCAATTTGAGGACTTAAAATGGGAAAAAGCTATGAGATCCTCATGCAGTCCATTCCCCCAAAACCCAAAATGGTTATTTGGCAGGACAAAATGAGAATCATCTGCATATTCCTCTGTGAAGAAGTAAGGAATAGGAAAAATGAAGCCTGAGGACAGAATATAGAATAGCGGCCATTAGAAGGAGAAAATATTAGAGTTAAGAACAGACAAAATATTATTACCATTTTTTAAGTCTGCCACACCAAAGACTGATGTTAGCCTCTGTTCTTTGGCCTTCAGATCTTTGGCTTCATCTTTATTACTTTGTACTTCAGCTTCTGCCTCCATGCTCTTACTTAGTGCCAGCTCTGGTTTCTTGCTTCTTTCTTGACGTCCACTGTTTTGCCCCATCTACAATATTGTACAAAGACAGAAGGATGGCAGATAGACACAGCAAGATCAGAAAGAGTAGGAGCATCCAAAAACACCGGATTTGTCGATGATATTTTCATTACGAAAAAGGTGAAATCACAGAATGGTTTGGGTTAGGAGGGACCTTAAATCTAGGGCAAATTTCACCTTTTTTTAGCCTTTTGACCTGATAAGCGTTTTTAGTTTCTGTGCTGGGTTTTTTTTTTTTTGTTTCCCTGCATTGTTTTTAAGTGCCGTAGTCACAGCTCTACTGTGGCACTTTGGACTGCAATTCTGAAAGACATTTAAGAACTGAAACATCAGTTTCTTTTTCTCTTCCATCAAGTGATCACAGGCAAAGTGACTGTTTACACCAGGGAACCATTATTATGCCTTGACTGTCGACAGGCCATTACTCTGAGACATACTCCTGTGACTCAGCTACTGACTACTAAAGCAAAGTAAAAATACACAAGCAAAATAATATGATAAATGTTCAAATGCAATTATACAAAATTGAAATTTTTATAAGCTTACTTCCAACACAAAGACAGAATCAGAAAAAAGTGGATATGCTTAGGGAAGGCATTCTTAGGGAAGGGATATGTGAGGAGAGGGGACCAACAAAACAAATGCTCAGATATTATTATTTTACAGATATTAAACAGCACATAAAATCAACCTAAGGCCAAGTGCTGAAAGAATGATGAAAAGCTACCAAGAAAGGAAAACAAGCAAAATATCCTGATTCTGCCTTCCACAAAAAGAAAATCTTTGTTTTAAAAGCATGTTTTCAGGTAAACTGTGTGTAATAATGTCAGATATCAAAGCTTCTGAAGATTGAGGCAGAAAAACTAGAAATGAATTTTTTTCCCAATTATTAACTTTAAGCTTAAGTATAATTATTTCCAACTGTGCTTCTGAAGATTACTTACATACACTCATATTCATTAAAAATTGTCAAATTTGCTGAGAAGTTTATCTGGGGAAAAGAACCCCAATTTGACATTCAAAGATAGATTCAAGAATATTACTTTTTATATACCCAAATCCAGTGATTAGAATAGCTATGGAGGAAAAGAGAATTTTTATTTTATTTCTCCCTTGGGAAAACAGAGTCTGAATGCAAGAGTCTGAAGACACACTGCCTCTTTCCCTGGAATTGATTTAACAGTGCAGTCAGGTTTCTGAAAGTCCAGATGGTGTGGGAGCCCATCTGGGCCTGTACCATGAGGATCACTGGGTTTAGCTGATTTGCTTTAGCCAGAAGATAAGGGATGCTCACAGCCAGTTGGGATACCGAAGAAGACAGAGAGGGACAGGCAGTGGCAGAGGTAGCAAAAAACCAGCTGGGGATGTGGCAGGGATGAGGCGAACCAGCAATACATTACTTTTGCCAGGAAAGATAAGACTAAGGTGGGATTAATGAGTAAACTCAGGACTTTGGGTGACTTGAGAAATAGGTAGAAAAATACTAGGGCATGAAGATGCAGGGGGTTACAGAGATGGGAGGACTTGGGTTTCTGGTTCAATGAAACTCTCCCCCAGACACCGCTAGCAGGAACCCTGGTACTGGAGCAGGGAGACGAATACAATTTCCCAACCCTGGCATGGAACTGCCTCACTTTGGCTGGCTGTCAGAAATACAGCATTCCTAAGATTTGCACTTGACCTTTTTTCCCCTGCACAAGTGTATAAAAAAATTGGTGAGTGAGCTGAGGAACTGAGGAGCAGGCTCCCCTCCTGCCCCCAGTTTCTCCTCTCTCACCGGAGAAGCAGGGTTGCTTCTCAGTTTTCTTTGCAGGTCAGGGGTAGGACTCAGTACCTTCAAGTACGTGGCTTGGCTGCACCAAGCAATGCCACTAGGACTGGGCATCCTGTACTCATTTAACTCTCTCACTTGCTCTCCCTCAGCCAAGCCCAGCATCCTCACTCTCAAGATGGACCGCTCTGCTCGGCAGTCCCTCTGCCCTCCCAAGACACTGGCTTCTCACAACAAAGCCCCCAGTAGTACCTTCATGCCCTGTGCCCTGAAGTGCCCCTTTATCAGAGGAGTAGTCCCATCTTTGTCCCTTGTCACCCCTTCCCCACCATCATTATCTCCTTTTCCCTCACAGGTATCTTGGGGCACAGATGGTGCTGGGGCAGATGGTTGGCTGCAGTCTTCAAGATCCTCTTCCAACCCAAACCATTCTATATTATGACTCTGTGATCCCCCGAGGTGCTCCTCGAAGGGCTCCAGCAGGGACTCAATGTGATGACCCATCCTCAAGGGGAAGTACCTAAAAGCACATCACCTCCACACTTCTCTGGGATGCGACTGAAAGGAGACTTCCCACGCTGTTGTCAAACTACTCTCCCTTATTTCCCTCTCTTTTTATTACCTTCCCTCCCAGCACACTGCACTTCAGCCTCAACCTATCGCACAAAACAGCAAAAAGGCTTCTTACCAATTACCGCAGGACTAGCAGTGCTTCGAGCCTCGGCTGGACCTCACGTTCACACCGCACTTGCTGACAAAGAAGCAGCAGGGGATCGGACAACACGCCTGCCCGCACCGGAGCGGCACGGACAAGCCGCTCCACCGACGGAGCCAGAAAGCCACCGGGGCCCGGGAGGACTGGGGGGCGGAGCGAGGCCGTCCCGCCGCTCACACCGCCTTAGGCGGCAGCAACTCCCGCCCGCAGTTTTCATTTCCCGCTCGGCTGGGAGAGGGGAAAGGAAGTGAAACTTAGCACTGCCCTGGGCTGCCGCTGGCGGCTGCCACGCCGCTTCCTGACATGGAGCGGCGTGAGAGAAGGGCAGCCGAGGGACCAGAGACCTCCCATAGCTCAGCGGCTACTCAGGGTGCACTGCTGACGCCGCGCTGGGGCGGTGTCTCTCAGGAGAAATTGCGGAAGCTGGGCATGTTTACTCTAGAGAAGACCGAGAAGAAGACTCATCAATGCATATAAATATCTCAAAAATGTGTGCAGAGAGGATGGTACCAGACACTTTTCAGTGGTGCCCAGTGACAGGACGAGAAGTAATGGACATAAACTAAAATACAAGAAGTTCCACCTCAACATGAGGAAGAGCTTCTTTACACTGAGGGTGGCAGAGCACTGGAACAGGCTTTCATGGGAGGCCAGTACTAAATAAATACTTGAGAAAAGCAGCATTAATTTGCTTTGCATTAGGACTAAAGTATTTTTACTGCTTTTCAGAAGCTGCTCAGGTTGAGGAAAAATTGCTGAAATTGAACTCTGAATCCCCTAGCTGCTCTCTGTTTTCCAGTCTCAGGAAATGTAAGTAAAAGCAACTGCAGACACTGAAAATGGAAATATTTCACCAGTCTGTTCAGAAATACACAGTTGTAAAGAATTCACTGATATAAAGCCGAAGCAAGCAACTGCAATAAAGCCATTTGAAACCATTACAAGGACAATTTTTAAAAGTCCCAAAAATAGAGTAAGTACAAAGATACATGCAATACTGTAGTTCACTCAGAAACTTTTGTGACACATTCAGTTTCATGAAAAACAAACCTGATGGAACTATTGCTGAAGAAACAAAACCAACATAATAATCTACTTGCATGACAGTCTGATTTGATGCTTGGCATTACAGTTGTCAATAAACCCATGTACTACACATGTGGCAATTATGTTGAAAAAATGATGCAACTAAAACTGCTAATATTTGCATTAAGTTATCCAACCTGAAAGGGCTTCTGAGTACGTTGAGCTGGGAAGAACTTGCAGAACATTGTCAGATGTGTGCAGTCGAAAGGCTTTGAAGCTGAAAGGGAGTGCCACTCCCTTGTGAATGCTTAGAACTTTGCAATTAGCAGGGATAGATCACCAAGAGCTTTCTCTCTTGGGACACTTCCCCCAAGGTGCGTTTTTCTCTGCAGAAGGTACCATGAAGCGCTTTCAGGCACAAAGGGTCCAGAGTGTTCCCTCTGTTCCTGCACGCAGTAAAGCGAGACCGGGCAAAACCAGTGAACGGTGGTCGTTCTTGCAGCCTTTCAATGTCACACTGAACCAAGGAGCTAGGCACTCTCCTTCTCACATAGACACACTCTCTCCTTCTCTTCAGTTCCCACAGATCTGACTTGATAACCCAAAAGAGTGCAGTAGCTGAGCCCATGCCAAATGTCCTAGAAGGAAAACTCACGGCTGATTTCACTCTTTCTCCTGAAACCAAAGCACTACACTGTTGTAGTAGTTAGGACGGCCGAAAAATAAAAAACAGGCACAGTATATGATGAAGATCCAACAGTCAGCTTTATTACTTCATACAGCCTAATAATTTCTTTTTTGAAAGCGACAAGGGCTTATACAGTAGTTTCAAATACTGGCACGACACAACACATGTGACCTTTTCAGCCAATCCTATACAATCATTCAACTGCACACAAGTGATAGAGTACTTTAAAAACTACAATTCCCAGCATCCTTTGCTAGCACCCATTCTGTAACCAGAAATCCATCAACCCTCAATCTCTCCTGAGCAATAGGAGAGCCACCCTTGGCACTCCAAGCACACATGGAGCTTCCTGTGCTGACACCTTTTGTCTGGGAGGAATCTTCATTCTTATTCCATTTTGGGACTCAAAATTCCAGCACAGGGGTTCTGAAACCAGAAAAAAGGTATTTCTATGGGGTCTGGTTACACCAGGTGCTACAAAGCATCCTGGGAGTTGTAGTTCTAAGTACTCTGTCACACATGCTCTGTTGAATGCTTGTATGGGATTGGCTTAAGAAGTTACCTGTGTGACGTGGCAGCATTTGAAACTGCTGTATAAGCTGGGATTCCTTGAATAAACGAGTTCTTGTTACACACCACGTTGGTGTCGCTATGGTCCCCATGGGACTTATTATTTATTATATTAATAACTGCTACATATGGCGCCCGGAACAGGGACCTAAGCCTTATCCTGAATCAGGAAGAAATACAGACAAGACGTCAGGAACCAACGTATATTTAACGCTGAGGGACGTCCTCCGTAAAAAAGAAAGAAACGCCAGGTACCAGGGGAAGAAAACTCTGATGGGCGTAGGCGGGAGAAACCGCGATTGAGCTCGAAAAAAGGCCTGAATTCGGTAGGAAATTGCCTACGTTTTGAGAGGACGCTCTCGAGAAGAAAAATCTACGTCCCAGGTGAGAGGGCAGGAGAAAAAAGAGAAAGAGAAAAAATGAAAACTTTTAATTCACGTGAACCACAGAATATTGCAAAAGCCTTAAGCTTAATATTGAAAAGACTTTGGAGACAAGTTAACAAACATAAAATAACTGGACTTTTAAAATTGATGAAAATAACTGTTTTAGGACTACTGTTATTTACAATTCTTAATGAAATTGCTTGGAAAGAAGGGTGGAGAAGCAGAGAGAAAACAGAAGTAAAAAAGGTGGACACTTTAAAACCCTCGCAAGAGAACTCGTCCACAGAGAGAAACTTTAAATCTTCCCCTCCCCCAAACATTGTAAAGCATGGAACTCCACGTGCTACTGCAGTGTGGAAAGGGGGAGGGGGTCCGAGAGCATGGAAAAAAAGCCTTAGAATATACCTTTTTGTGCTTAATTTTCGTGGATGCGTGAATTCCGGGAAGAAGGCGCGTGTCGTGGATTGTGTAACTGGTAAAAGGAAACAAACTTTGAATCCCCAAGCCATTAAAAACCTGCAGACACGTGGAGACCACGCCGGAGCATGGGCGGCGCCATCTTGCCCATGCCAGGAGCAGGAGGTAGTGCCTTCTCTTCCTGTCTCGTGGCCATGTTGTGGACTGCCTCTGCTGGAGGCATGCATGGAACATGGTCCGTGCTGGGAGCCGGTAGCTAAGCAACAGCTGCTGTGCCTACCAGCAACAGCGACGCGATGTTTAAAAAAGATGTAGAATGTGATAGCTGCAAGGTGCGTGGCGCGAGATTCGAAACAGCGACCACGGACCAAGCACCCTCGCCGCGAGGACACCCCGTCGTGGACCATGGCGGCGGCGGGATTGAGAAAACTCCAAGCCGAAGCGGCCGAGCGGCACTGAGGCCATAAGCGACAGTGCCAACGTAGACCCTGTGCCCACCGCGGTGGCCCCGCCCGCGCCCGCCAAAGGCAGCAAACCCAACCCGACCGCTGCGGGCAGCGCCGCGCCTGGGGCGGTGCTGGGTGGGGGAGCTGGGGCGGCACAGGGCGCCGAGGGCAGCACGGCCGGCGAGAGGGAGTCTGTGCTGTTGTCCGCAGCCGTGGCCGCTCGCCCGGACGAGACCACGTCCAACGGCGTGTACGTCCCGCCCGCGGCCAACGGTGATTTGAAGCCCATGGTGTCCACCATGCTGTTCGTGGACTTCCTAATGCAACTAGAGGACTACACGCCCACGATACCAGACGCCGTGACGGAGCGTCTTGGAGCAGCTTGGAACTGCTCGAGACTACGAACGGAGAACCGAGAGACCGAACAGGCTTGCGCCGGGGGTGTAACGCAGGTTTGTAAATGGGGCCGGGGCGACAATTCAGACTGGCAAAGTCGAGACTGCTTGCGAGATTCCGTGCTGCTGTGGCGGCCCTCGCACAATTAGTGGGCCGGAGCAAGCAGCGGGGCGGCACGAGGCACGAGACTGTCGGGACACTCGGCAGCTGCTGTGAGATAGGCTGGGGGCGGAGTTGCGCAAGGCTCCGCAGGACTGCTGGCGGCGGGCGGTGACTCCGGCCCCCCCGGGCCGGGTGGCTCCGGGACGGGGCTCGGCGACTTCCTCTCGCGGTACTGGCTGGTGTCGACCAGGCTGCGGCGGCGGTTCCTGCGCAAACCCAGATGGCAGCGGCGGCGGCACCACCGGGAGCGGCGGGCGCGGCGCACAGCGAGAAGGGGGCCGGGCGGCCGGAGCGGCGCCGCCGCAGGGCGCCTCTGCCCGGAGGCCACAAGCGGGCCAAGGCCCGGCCGAGGCGCGGCCGAACGGGAGGCGGTGACCCGAGCTCAGAAGCCCTGCCGCAGCTGGCGGCGACTCCCGCCGCGCCCCTGACCCACGTGGAGCTCCTGGCAGAGCTCCGCGTGGAACCCCGGCCCGGGGAGGCGGCCCCGCGGCCATCCCGGACAGCCGAGCAGGCTTGCACCGGGACTGTGGCACAAGTTTGTAAATGCAGCTGGGGCGACGTGGGGTGCCGAAGGCGGCGCGGCGGCTTCAGCGAGCACGTGTCAGCGGTGCAGAGCTGCGAGGCCTTCGCCGCCCACCTGCACTTGGAGCGCGGGCAGCCCGTGGTGATGGCCGGGCCGGGCCGTGCCTAATGCTGACGGCCGCGTTCCACTACACGAGCCAGCCCACCCGTGCCGCTGCTCCCCTGAAGCGGACCACGCAGCCCGGGACAGCCGCACATGCGGCACAGCGCAGCACCAGGCCAAGCCGAGGCCCGGCGGCGATGACCAGCGACATGGTCCCCACCGTGAGCGGGACGGGCCGTGGCTGCAGCGACTCCGGCTCCTTCGGGAGCGTCAACAGTAACAACGCCGCCTCCCCACTCCCGTGAGAGAGGCGGCGGCGGCCCGGGCAAGGACCCGGGCCAGGACCAAAACTATACAGACACTATATTACTGACTGTTTTTACATGT